TCTAGAGTGAAGATTTCTAGGTAGATTAACGCCAAATTTGCTAGATTTGATCTTCTTGATGTAAGAGCTTCACTTCTATGTAAATTTTTTTTATTTTCACCATTTATTTTGAACACATTGGGGATTTGACCAAAAATCACTATTCATGGTGAAAATTTGTGAAAAACTTATGGAAAATATATAAAAATGATAATTTAAACTTTTAGAAGTTGAGTTTAGTGATTTTGTCTTGAATTTGGAATTTATTGTGAAATGGCCCCAAGAATGAAGAGGAGTAAAGGGAAGTCTCATTTCGATTTAAGCAAATTTGTTAGCTCGAAAGCTCAGGGCAAGTATACTGAAGCACTGCAATCGAGAAAACTATTTCCTGAGAGATGTTTCAAAAAGTTTGGATGGAGTAGTGGAACATTTATTTGCTCGCCGATAGTGGGAACGGTTTTGTTGTTTTTCTGTTATGGCCGTAATTTTGGTTGTTCGGGAGTTTTACGCTAATCTCCCTAAAGCTGATGAAAATTGGGTCATGGTTCGAGGAAAATCAGTGTCTTTCTCCCCTGAGGTAATAAATTTGTTTTACCAGCTGCCCCCTAGTTCATTGTGTTTTTATTCGAATTATAGTCCAACTAAGGAGTTAGATGAGATCATATTGTCATTGACCGCTGGAAGAGGACTGTGGAAGATAACAAATGAAAGAAGTGTCAACTTCCATATGTCAAAGTTAGATACTGTTGTGATGTATTTAAGTTATTGTGAGTAATTATGTTTTGTTTCTGTGATAGTGATTGTGTTAATTGTGTTGCCTAGTATATTTAGTTAGTCTGTGTTAAACTTAATCCTGAATTTTAGGAAGGTTTAGAATATTAATAACTTTGACTTAAAAACTTTATGTTTAAAATTTTCAATTTACTATTAGGTATTTTCCTTATGTTGCATTTGTGAATTTCAGTTCGTGTGTTAGTTTGCTTTTATATTATCCTCCACTGCACAAAAGTCTAAAAAATCTCTATATGTTAAAGTTAAATTAAAATTTGATCAATTAATGCTTACCCATGTTTTAAATTTTTGTACTTCTATATTTAGGAGATGAAAATTACTTTAAGCATGTTATTTTTAGCTCTCATTTCTGCCTATATATATCTGATGCTAAAATATTTTATCTTATTAAAAATTTAAGTATAGGGGGGATGAAAAACTTTCTAAAACTTGAATTTTATTTGTTCTCAAGCTACAAATAAATTTGATTTTGATTTGAAAAAAGATGTTATGTATATGAAATTATATTAGGGAAGAAAAATTTTGAATATATAAATGAGTAAGAGAATTTAGTTGAAACCTATAGAAATTCAGAAAAACTTAAAGTAAAAAAAATTTAATGTGGAATATGATAAATATTATGTCACTATCTTTAGTAGGAGAAATTGCATTTTTGAAAAATATAGAAGGGTTAGACTTTTAAATTTATTTTATTAAAAACAATTTTCAAAATCATTATTATATTTTTAAGGAATTATATCAGAACTTTGCGTTAGGAGAGTAATGAAATTCAAAATCATTAAGGGCCTATCCAGATATAGTAACCCTCACCTGAAAAAGAAAATAATCAAAAGAAAAAAAATGAAAATGAAAATAAAAAAAAAAGTTGGAAAAGGGAGGAAAAGCTTAGGATTAGTGCATAATAAAAAATTGATTTCACATCTAATCTTTTTAAAGTATAAGAATTAAGAAACTCTAAAGCTTAAAGATATAATATAATAAGTATAAATATTCTTAGTAAAAATTTTTAAGTGGAGAAGATAGAATGCCTAAACTCTATATTTGCAGAATTTACAAATATTTTTGAATTAGATAGAAACTCATATTTTCATACTTCTTTACATTAAAAATTTCTAAACTCTAAGTTAATCTTATGTACTAATGTTTTTTCAAAATTGGACTACTATATTTCTAGATCAAAATTTTAGAATATACTAAAGAAATTCATTTACATAATTTACTTGTTTTAGTTTAATCTTATTTATATTGTCTTCATCTTATAAATATACAGTTAAATTTAGCTAATTGTTTGCTTTATTTTCAATTAAAAAAAATTACCAAAAAAGAATCAAACTTTCATTCCTATTATAACATTTATAGTTTGAGTAAGAATATTAAAATTTGTTGTCTATTTTTTTTCTGATTTAATTACATATTGTATTTCTTACTATGGGTTCGATATTCGGGGTTTAATCAAAAAGCTTTATATTATTTGATGATGGTACGTATACTTGCTTAGTATCTCATATTTAAATATAATAATTATATTCTCATTTGCTTCGAAGTCAAGTTTTTGGTGTCATTATAAATCAAGAAATATAAGGAAAAATTAAGAATATAATCGCATACATCGTACTATCATATTCGAGATCAAATACTTTCATGTTTTTTTTTTTTTTTTTTCCGGTGAAACAATTAACTCTAAAATACTTGCTGGAGGCAAATTCAGATGCAATTAATACCCTTTGGAAACAATACTACCAAAAACACTCGAATTTTTTCAACTTCTAGTGATGCATGGAAACTATATGGGTTGATTGCAAGATTTATACTACAACTTGACGTTGGTGCATAGTTTCATTTGCATGTGTGTTATCTTTTTTATCGAAGTTGCAACGCAAAGTATTCAAAACAAATATTTTTGTAAAGATGGCATCTGAAGATTTAAATGTTGTTCATGGATTCCTAGAAGACTGAGATGGCAGAAATTTGTTGTCAATTTAATGGCAATAGAGCAATAATTCTCTATCCGACAACCATAATTGGTGAAGCCTGGCCCCCTGGTTAACAGCATACAAACATATGAATTGGCTTGCACACAACTTTAACCACTAGATATTATTAAACTATTCACTAGTCAATGTTTATTATTTTTGTTATACTTTTTAACATAGCATTTTAGCCATATTCCAGTCAGAAATATTGTATCTAAATTTATTGCATAAAAATATTAAAGATTATGAGTATATTAGGTCATTTTAAAGGCGATACTCCCCTATATGAATATTGGGTGCCCTTTATGTACAAATCCAATTAAATTGGTTAGGATTAATATTTTTTGAAGTTGTTTGTTTTTGTGTAAAATAAATAAAAATAATTAGAGTTTTCTATTTGATTTAATGAAAAATAAAAACAATATAAAGCATTGTCAGTGATGATGGCAATAGTGAACAATGGTGGCGAGCAACATCATGCGAGTGGAGGGTAGCTAGCGGCATCATGCTAGTGAAAGGCGGCCCACTGCCAATGGAGGTGGAAATGACGGAAAAATTTTCTCTCCGTATTCCGGACGTAGCTCTACGTGCGAACTCCCAATAATAAATTGTCATGCGTGCTCATTGAAGTGAAATATATGGGTTTCTCTTCAATAATCCCAAAATAACCTATGTTGGGTTATTTCGAGGTTATTGAAGTGGAATATATGTATTTCTCTTCAATAACCAAGAAATAACACAGAAATAACCCCAAAAATAACATCTTCGGTGTTCTTTCGGGGTTATTGAAGTAGAACCACAGAGATTATTTCAAAATTATTTATGGGTTATTGCAACAATATTGTAGTGAAATATATAGATTTCTTTTCAATAACCATGAAAACACATCCTCGATTTCACATCAATAATACGGAAATAACATTCGCGATATGGCACACGTGGCGCTATATCATTGGAGTCCGCACGGGAAGCTACGTCCGAAGTCTGGATAGAAAAATTTTCCCAACAATAGGGCAACGGGCAGCCGATGGGCACAATGGCTACGTTGGCTAGCAACAGTGCCATTAGAGGAAATGACGGCAGAGCAACCAGTGAAAGACAACTACAACAGCCAATTGGCAATTGTCGTTGCAATGATAAACTATTATATTCAATATATTTAAAAATCAACCAAACATAATAACTTCAGAATACACATTTTAAGCACTCTTGTGAATTCCAAATTCACCAAAATTTTATCCTACATTCATTTTCATTCAACCATACAGAGATATTTTAAAAATAATTACATTTGATTTACTTTACACCAAATTCGTATAGTATCAAACATCTCTATAATCAAAGTGAAATCCGTCTAATTTTACAAAATCAAATTTGCATAAATTTGTAACCATCCGGATTAGATTTGATAGATAAGATGTCATAACTAGAAGTCTAAATAGAAGAAAATGGATCATTATGACCTACTACTATTGTAAGCGACTCAAATATGAGAATTTGAATTTTGCAACAGCGTAATAAATATTGGAATCGTAAGAACTTTTTAACATATCTTATATCATTTTCTTTAGTATTAGATACGTATGCATACTAATGAAGAAAACTGTATCTATTATTAGCACAAAAAAAAAAAAAAAAAGCCCAAATGCTTTGGCTATCATGTAACAAAATGTTGAAAACCAGTACAAGCAGAAATAAAATAAATTTTGTCAGTAAACATGAAAAAATTGTTTGTAATCAAATTCAGCATCTAGAAAAAGAATGGAATTAAGTATAAAAGGAGTTATATTTAGCATTTTTTAGAGGCCTAAAAAAAATTTATTCTGACTCGGATGATTCAAGTACTATTTTGGAACTTTTTCCAACGACTACCGTTAGCCCAACCTTAATAATTACAAGCAATATTATCATGATACAGTTTAAAAAGAGTCCGAAAATATTGAAACAAAATAACCACCTATTGAAATTCGTTTGTTTTGATCAGATTTGTAAGGGATGCAATCCTTATTTTAAATGGACAAATCCTAGCCAATCAACAGTTTTGATCAAGGATACAAAGAATGCACGGACTTTAAACGCCAATGTTGGATACAGAACAAGCAATGTTTACTGCTATTCTGAATGGAATAATCATACCATTATTTTTAGTTACATAATACTTAATAGTAAAGTTTAGACAATAAAATTTGTTTGTGAAAAAAATATGTAACCACCGAATTCAGCGACTCCATTATATGAGATGTGAACTTAAACAACTTGTAAGCTAAGAAGAACAAACTGATATTGATTTAAAATCTCTCAACAGATAGCGGTTATACAGGAAAGCAAACATTAGGATTTGCCATACTTCCCAGTTGAAGAACCTACGCACTAAATTAACCCTACCAGTAGTGGCAGAATACATAGAAATTAACTAAGCCATGTCGAGTGAATCGAGCATCACCCAGCTCACCATTAAGCATGAGATACAGAGCAGCACCAAGTACAAAAAGGTAATAATGAAGCTGAATATAACAGTGCAACTAACCTTACCATTTTAAATTTAAGAATCCTGTATAAAAGAGCCTTTAAGTCCGTGTTTCTCTTACTCCTGATATATTGGAATCAAGTAGCATAGTGATGGGACTCAACATCAATCATTCTAATCTGGTTAGCTTCAGAATGTTTTTGTGTCGTGGCTTTTGTGTCACTGGGATCCTCATTACAGTGAATAGTGTGCCAAATTGGTCTTTCTTGGTGGAACATTCTGCAATGACGGCAACAGACGCGTATTCACAAAGCTGGCTTATGTGTACCGCAAAACTACCATTTTACTTTTATTTTTATTTTAATGTTTTTACATAAGAATGTAACAAAAGAACATTTAAAAATTAGAATTGATTATTAAAAGCTGCAAATGCTTACGGATGCTTGCAGAGCATTGGACATTGTATTGTAACAACATATTTGCATGTAGAGATCTCCTTGATAGAACTGATTACTACCGAAGGTTCCGAGCAAACAAACCTGATCTCTGTCTCTCGAAGTTGGTTGGTTAGGTCACATAAAGTTCCGTTATTGTACACATGAGCATGATACCTAAAATTTGGCATGAGAAAAGTTATGCCTTCTTCAATTGAAGAAAACTTAATAATCATTTAAAAAAAGCTTCTCTCGTCAGCTACTTGATGAAATGGAAAAAATTGGCCAAAGAGATGTAGTCTACCTTTGAGAAGCATCTTTAGAACGTGGATCTTTTAAAACTGTAGCATCAGACTGGTTTTGGTTAAAGTTAGCAGTTGCCACTGGATCAAAAACACCCATGAGAAACTCCTGAACCGGCTGCGAAAAGAGCAACAAATAATTAAAATTTTTTACTATGAGGAAAAGTTGAGAAGGAAAGATTAAGAGGCCTGAATATTCTAGGCTCTCGAATTAAAATGTGATGTGATTCTTGAAGTATTTTATTTTAACAACTGGTCTATTCCTTTTACAATGTTATATAAGAGTACAACAACAACAACAACAACAAAGCCTTAATCCCACTACGTGGGGTCGGCACAATGTTATATAAGAGTGGTCAAATAAATTTAAATTTGGTTAAAGTTTAATAAAAAGAGAGAAGGAAATTGAAAAGAAGATCATGTTAAGTTCAGGCTAGAAGAATTTGCAATAAATAAAGAAAAACCATAACAAAACATGATCGGTAGGGTCGTAGTTTGGGAAATAAATTTTGTTGAAGGTACTGTAACTGAAATACAGCCTCGATTGTTTTGAAATGAGTAGAATGTAGGTTTCGATTGATTATCAATGTATTTGAAAATCCATCCTGCTTAAGATTTGGTTGGTGCAAAAATTGGAGAGTTATATTAAGTAGTCAACCGAAGCACACAAATTTTATCAAAAAACTGATATGAGCCTTTTAAATCATTGTGTTAATGCTAGGGTGTTCCTTGTATGCGACGGGTAGTATGGCCAAAATAGAGTGAAAGCGTGCAAGGGTCACTGAATTGACACGTAGGTGTAATGTTTAATAAGCAAGTGTTCTTTTATTTTGGAAGGATGTTGGCAAATAAATTAATCCATAAAGCTAATATTATGATAGAAACTTAGAATATAAGTACTCTCACTTATAAATTAATGAAATTAGTAAATATTATGGTACGTTAGAAGATAAATATCTTATATATTGAATAAACTAAATGAGTTGGAGAAAACACTAAAGAGATTATTAGCTTAAGTTTTAAACTTTCGTATTTGGGTTTGAGTCATAATAAAAAGTGTGAGTGTGTTTGAAAAAAATGTTTAAAAAATAATGTTATAAAAATTAAAAAAATTAGAGATAGAATTACATCTCTAAAGATTGTTGTTTATCCTAAAATTTTTAACATTACAAGCGTTCATACTTCCCAATTATATATGGATATATGATCAAATGAAAGATTATGGAATGAACAGAAAGAATTAGTACAAAGAATACCACTTGAATAAAAAATTTTTATAGAAGATTTAAATGAACATGCTAATAAAATAGTAGAAGATTTTAGAAATATTTATGGTAGCTATGGTTTGGAAGTGATTAATAAATAAGATAGAATCATATTAGATTTTTCTTTAACTTATGATTTTAATATTGCTAATATTTTATTTAAGAAAAGAGACCAACATTTTATCATTTATAAGAATGAATCTAATAAAACACAGACTGATTAAATTTTAATGAAAATATAAATCTTTCATATTATAAAAATTGTTAAATCATTTGAAATAAAAATTTAAATACCTAATATTGATTATTATTTTTTAATTTTAAAAACAAATATTGAAAGATATCATAAAATTAGATGGGAAACTTGAAAGATATAAATAATTTTATTTTTTATGAGTAAATTTTAAAATCTTAAGATTTGGGATATTTATGAATCTAAAACTATGTGAGATAAAATAACAAGTACTATTAAACAAGTTGCAAAAAAGTATATTTAGAGAATAAAAAAAAACTTTCTTTATGAAAATAATATTTAATGAAAAAGAATAACCAAGAAAAGAAAAAAAATAAGTTTTGTTATAAACATTAATTTTGATGTAACAATTTGGGAAAAATATAAGATGAACCGTAAGAAATCTAAGAAAAAAATTTGTGATACTAAGAATTCTAATTTTAATGATCTTTTTAATAAATTAGATACTAAAGAGGGAGAATGATATATGTATAAACTAGTCAACCATAAAGATAAGAAAAATAACAATCTAGTTCAAGTGAAGTGTATTAAAGATAAAAATCAAAAAGTATTTTTCTTAATCAAGAAATATTCAAAATAGATGGGTGAGATATTTTGATGAGCTTTTGATGGAATATTGTAAAATTATGATTGAATTTAGTGATCTTAATATCATAAATAAAAATAATATTTTTCATTTCTACCGCCGCATTAATAAAGCATAAGTTGAGGAGACTTTAAAGAAAATTAAGTATGAAAAAACAATATGAGTTTAGGATATTCCAATAAAAGTGTGAAAATATTTAAGAGTTTTAAAAATTTCTTAGTTTACTAAAATTTTTAATATTATTTTAAAAAATAAAAAATATGTATTATGAGTAGAGAAAGAGACTACTGACTCATATTTTTAAGAATAAACATAATGCACAAGAGTGCAGAAGTTATAGGGAAATTAAGTTAATGTCATAAATTAGAGATATGGGAGTAATTCAGCATAAGTTACGACGATACAAAAATTTCACAAAAATAATTTGGATTCATGTCGGGGAGTAATTCAGCATAGGTTACGACGATACAAAAATTTCACAAAAATAATTTGGATTCATGTCGGGCAAGTTTATTATTGAAAACTATACATTTACTGAGAGGTTTGATGGAGAATTACAGAGAGAGTAAGAATAATCTACATGATTTTTTTTTTTTATTTAGAAAAATTTTACGATAAAGTCTTAAGAGTACTTTAGAGATTTCTAGAAAAGAAAGGTGTTAATATTATATATAAATATATATATATATATATATATATATTAGAGTCGTTGCTTGTGTTCAAACTCAAGGTGAATTGACCAAGCATTTTCCCATTTTAGATGGATTACAACAGGAATCGGCTTTTAGCCCATATCATTTTGTTTTTGTTATGGATATTTTTACTGGACATTTACATGAGGATGTACCATGCATGCTTTTCGTTGATGATATCCTTCTTTTGGATAAGACTAGAGAGAGAGTTCAAAAATAACTAGATTGATGGAGTTTAATTTTAAGAGTCAAAAGGCTTTCGTTTGGGTAGATCTAAAACCAAATTAATGGAATGTAAGTTTAGTAGTAGTAGATCTAGTGGTGGGATTGTAACAAATGGTGATCAAGTCATTAAAATGAGTGAATATTTTAGATATCTTGGGTATATTCTTCATAGTGATGGTGATATAGATGGGGATGTTATTAGTAGAATTCAAATTGGATGGTTGAAGTAGAGGAATGTATCAAGCCTATTGAGCGATAGATAAGTATCTCTCACATTTGAATGAAAATTTTATAAGATAGTAGCGAAACCTACAATACTTTATGTCACAAAATATTGACCTCTAAAAGAGAACCATAAAATTAAGCATTGCAATGCTCAAGTAAATGACTGGATTTTCACTTAAAGACAATTTAAAATGAATATATCCATGAAAGAGTTGACTCTAGTGGCAGACATGATTAAAGAGAATCGTCTTAGATGGTTTAGTGATATTAAACGTCGACCATCTAATGACACTTTTAGGAGAGTAAATATTTTAGATTTGACTTATATTAAGAAAGGTAGAGGTATCCTAAAAAAAAATCAGCATGTTGTATAAAAAAAGATCTTAATTTATTTGAATTATAAAGAAATATGGCACTCATGAAGACACATGCAGCCGACCAAACTTATTGGGATAACTTGTCGTTGTTGTATATCCTAACCAAAGTTATACATCTTATGAATATTAATAAAGCAGTTAAAAAAAATTATGGCGCAAGCATAAGGTGGTAGAATTCAAAATGTGAGAAATTTTTAATACTTAGTTAAATTTCCTTGGTTGATTCAAGGTGGTAGAGTTCAAAATGTGAGAAATTTTTAATACATAGTTAAATTTGCTTGGTTGATTCAAACTTGATATGAGATAAATAGCGATTACAAAATCATGGTAAAAATTTTAAGTCTAGGAGTAAACATGCCATTAAAAAACTTGATGATAGAGTAAGAATGCACAAAGGGGTTTTAATGAAAAAAATATGCTTTTAAAATTGGGAAATATTTAAATATTGATAAAGTTAATTAAAAAAAAATTGTATAATGAGGGAAATCAGTAAAACAAAAGCTGCAGTATTTTATGATTTATCTAATATGCTTAGCAGTAAAGAAGGATAAATCGAGGCATAAAATAGCAAATGTTAAAGAAGAGTGATAAAGAATTTGGTTAAATTAGATAGATTAAAAGTAATGATAATTGACTTTTAGTAAACAATAATAACATCATCGAGAATGTAAATGTTATTTTGAGAAATTACTACATGAGGAATTTCAAGAAACTTTCTTTTGGATTAGCAAACAAATAATATGATAAATATATTATAAACTGATCCATAAAAAAATGAAATAGCGCTAGTTTTGAAAAAGTTAAATAAAAGTAAGAATTTAAGTTCATAAGAAAAACCATTGAGATTTCAAGAGCTATGAGAGATATTTCAATGATTCGACTAACAAATCCATCTCATAGAATTCTAAAGATTAAGCATTTCTTATGATTAAGGAATTAACATTTCAATGCTAAAATTTATAAAAAAATATGATATTCATAATTATGCCAAGTATAAAGCAGTAAAATTTCTGAGTTCTGTAATTTAAGCAATAGATGAGCACAATACCGCATAGGCTTAGATATACGTTAATTTTGAAGAACCAATTAACTTTATGACAGAAATATCTAACATGAAAGTAATTTTTATGTTAAAACAATTAATAAAGTGTGCATAACAAATAATGGATTATCAAGGGATAAGTTTGAGTACCAAAAGAATTAATTTAGGGTACTTGAAAATCATCTTTATGCCGGTTGACAATTACGTAAATAAACTCAATACATCTTTTAGATCAAATTCTAAACCTTTAGAATTACTTTATATGAAAATAATTGGATAAAAAATTCTTACTAGTTTAAAACAAAAAAAAATATGGGTATTTTATAGTTGAAAGGTGCTCAAGCTTAACATTGGTAGCATTGTTAACTAATAAGAGTGTAGTTATTAAATTTGTAAATTTTGTAATTTTATTTAGAACGAGAAGTATCTATTGAGACCTTTAAAGGTGACCAT